CTGGAACAAAAATACGCTCTCACATAAGTCTTCCCTGTTTCTCCACCCTAGTCATTTGTACGGTGGGGTAATTTACAGTACAGTGAAGCTCAACTGAATACATAATACACAACTCAAAAGAATTTAAAGAACAAGAGAACAGAATGACACGCATGATTGCACCAACATTGTTGAGTATATTGTTTTAGAACCGATTGACAACACCTGAATGATTTTCACATAAGTTTAATGCCTCTTGTTCCGAAATGGTAGCCCAGGCATATAGACAATGACAAAAACATTTTGTTCCGTTCCTCTAATTCTTTTGAGTAGTGTATTCAAAACCATGAAGAAATTACTGCAAACGCAAAAGTTGAGAAAATGCTTTGCTGACAACAGATATGCATGGAAGTTTGGTCGGCCCGGCTGGCCGGGCTGCTCAAAGCTGAGAAACCATAATGCAGACTTGTGTTGTTCATAACATAAATGCCAACATCATATCTTGTGCAAAATGTTACCGATGCCAGTGATCGACCCATGTTCTCAACAAAATGAAAAGTGGAACAGCGTCTCGTAATGCACCGGATCACAAAAGATATCCATGCCGGTGTCAAGGTTGATCCGCTCTATGCATTTGCTTGGTGAGGAATTTACACAAATATTTTATTGTAAAGTGACACAAAGACCCGATCTCATTGACTTCTGCCCTCAGTCCTTAAACAGACACACTACATTTATACAGACTTTCCTGGACGAACTCATGAACCTTTAAGTTTCACCACTCCTGCGCGCATTCACGGAATGCAAAAATGTCCAAAAATATTATTCCACAAAAACTGCATTTATCTGTTCACCCCATTAACCCGGACTTGGGATAACAAGTGTGGACATAGTAATTTTTGTATACCCACGTTGTGTACCACCGTGAAACAATAACAGAGTCATTTATTCTTTTTTTTAAATTCAGTACATTTTCACCCACAACCTCCTAATTTTTTTTAGAGTACCATGGGACGCCATAGTCACAGTTGGGTTGTACAAGAAATGTAAAAGCGTGCGTTGACTATGCCCCCGTTTGATGGAGGCGAGTGGCTTCCTCTCCCCGATAGATGGAGGCGAGTGCCTACCTACCTCCCCGATAGATGGATGCGAGTTCATTCACAGTTGGATTGTACAAGAAATGTAAAAGCGTGCATTGACTATGCCCCCGTTTGATGGAGGCGAGTGCCTACCTTGCCCCCGATAGATGGAGGCGAATTCATTCACAATTGGGTTGTACACGAAATGTAAAAGCGTGCGTTGACTATGCCCCCGTTTGATGGAGGCGAGTGGCTTCCTCGCCCCCGATAGATGGAGGCGAGTTCATTCACAGTTGGGTTGAACAATAAATGTAAAAACCGTGTGTTGACTATGCCCCCGTTTGATGGAGGCGAGTGGCTTCCTCGCCCCCGATAGATGGAGGCGAATTCATTCACAATTGGGTTGTACAAGAAATGTAAAAGCGTGCGTTGACTATGCCCCCGTTTGATGGAGGCAAGTGGCTGCCTTGCCCCC